TGGGCTAAGTGGGACAGAGGTAAATAATAATGTATGCACAATCTTGGAACAACAGAGCTCTGGGATACAGGGATTGAGACATGGGTGGTGTAGGGAGCGGCTTCGCTTCTGCTGTTTGACACAGTCCCAGCAGAAAGAGAAACATCATGCAATGCAGATGATTCTCAGGAGCTAGCCTCTATCTCCTCTGTTGGATAACTCTGAATTCACTTGTTAAAACATATAATATTGCCATATTCACAGCTTTTTGCTATGAGCTCTGCAGACCTTAGGAAGAAACCGGTCTGGCAACAATTGTTTCAGCTTCGGTGGGTTGAATTCAAAGGGAATTGTATGAGCCACTTCCGTTCACAGAAAACCTAAGTACAAAGTAACTGCATTTATGAGATCACAAAAGCAGATAACAAACTAAAGTAAAGCTGACCAACACCTATAGACCTCAACACAATCAATTACCAGCCAGAATCCACAAATCCCCACTATTACATACAGGCACCTATGTAAATAAGCAGAGAATAGTGAACATAAATGAAAGTGGTCTAAACTTAACAGTCTACATTTCCTGCAGTAATTAGCAAGGTTGGGCCTTATGCCCCACAGTCTTAAAAGAAAGAAACATAGGAACACTGTGGTTCGGCAATTTACTGAATACGTCAGAAGAACAAGATAATTGAGTAGATGTTAGTAATTCTTTTGTTATAGAAAATAGTAGTACATTATGTAGGATAGAAAATTAACAATCAGCTAGTAGAAACAATAAAGTAGTGTAAGCACTGATGAGTAATAGAAACTTAAATTACTAGGAGGATGTAATCAGAGGTCTGATAAGTGGAAACAATTGGTGTAAGGTTTAACTTGATCTTTCAGTGGGATAAGAAGAAACAATCTATCACTTACATAGGAGAGGAGATAATGTCAAGAGAAGAATGCTTAATGGTTAGAAAAGAACAGGATGTTGGAAAGGTCAGGTTGGACACCATAGAAATACTTTTGTTAAGGTCCTGTGATCACAGGGTAAAAGAATGTTAAAATTACAAATGTGTAATAATTCAAGGGAAAAATCAAAGTATCAAATCATTATGTATTGTGTAATTTTAAGTATAAAAATACAGACTTGCTGAGCCGGGGCAGAGAAGAAAAGAAAGAGAGAGAGCTCCATCAGACAACTAAGAAGAGGCTCCTCGATTGATTTCATTTTCGCCGACTCTGCGTCTCCTCTCATGTCCCAAGACCCTGCGAGAACTGGACTCCCACGGGTGGAATGCGGAAAAGGGGAGAAATAATGTTAACGTGCTTGGCTGTCTGTTGAATCTTGGTTTCCCTGGCATACCATTATAAAATAGACACTTGAGGGAGAGAGAAAGGAATAGCCAGAAATATCATCATAGAAAGCTT